TCGCTTGCCTTTTTCAAACGCCATGTGCTTCTCGAGCGACTTTTTGAAAACAAGGCAATCTTTCAGAGAATGTCTGTCCGTCTTGTGTATGGGGCACCAAGATTTCTTTGTGTCGCTGCCTTGTGGGTCTGGGCGCTTGGGAGGGTTCGCGTATTCTGCTGTGAGGACTTCCACTTGAGCTTTCCTTTTCCCATTTTTGTGATTTTTCTTCTTGCTTGACTCAGATGCGTCTGTGGCTGATTTCTTCTCTCCCCCGGTCTTCGGCTTGTCGTTCTTGCATCTTAGCGCATCGTCCACATGGGCGCATCGCTCAACGATCTCGAATAACCTCTGAGTGGTTGTGATGCATCTTGTCGCCAATTCATGGGTAGTGTAGCAATCTCTGACACCGGATTTGAAGGCACGGATTACAGAAGCATCGGTGATTTCAGGAATTGTGTTTCTGCGTTCGTTGAAGCGTCGAACATATTTCCTCAATGATTCACCTGAGTTCTGTGTCAACGCGTGTAGGTCGTCTTCGATCGCGTGGCGCTTGTACATTCCTTGGAAATTGGCGACGAATTGTTGCCACAGGTCTACCCATGAAGAGATTGAGTAGGGAGGAAGATTCATCAGCCATGAACGTGCAGAACCCTTCAACGCGGTTGGTAAATAGTTTGCTAGTGCGTTGTTGTCTGCTCCGGTAGCAGAGTACTGTGGAGTAGACTTGAAGGAATTCTTCTGGGTCGGTGCTCCCATCATACTTTTCAATTGCTCCGGGTCAGAATCTCTTAGGCCATCGGACATCATGTAGGGAACGACCGAGCGTTGGGGACGGTGGGTTGTCGGCGGTCGTGTGTCCTTCGTGGATGTCTGTCTGACGATGAGGAGGACGCAGATGATGATGATGACGATGGGTCGCTTGGTTCTGGCGTACGATTACGAGGATAACGGCCTGGATCTCGGGAATCCTGTCGTTGTCTCTCGCTGTTGTCTCGGTGCCGATCTCCATTATCGTCGCCGTTACGGCGGCGGCCATGACCAGTATTGTCTGGCCCCCGTCGTTCGCGATCGTTGCGATCGTGGTGGTTGTCGTGATCCCGGTCCTCGTTTGAGCGGTCTCCTCGATTTCCGTTATCATGGAGTCGTGAAGAGACATGACGCCGAGAGCGATTTACATTGTCTCGTGTGCGTCGTGCTTCTCGGCGGCCATTGATTTGATCTCAGAGATCGCCAGCTCCGCGAGGTGGAGGAGTGGCTCGTTGAGGTGATTCCCTCCGTTCCGGATCTTCACCATTGGCGTCGCCAGTTGGCGGCTGATCTTGGTGCGCTGCGGTAGCGGCTTCTTCAAACGCGTTGCTGAGGTTGGTCACCGATTCCCGTAGTCGTTCTGTCCAACGCTCGAGGTCATCGTTCAGAACGGGATCGTAAGGAGTTTCCCTCAGTATAGCTTGAACGACCCTGATGTGTTGGGCTGGAGTAGTCGATTGATTCGCCGCTTCTGCGTTGGCTTGCGCTGACGTGCCAACGTCATCGATAGCCAATACCTCCCGTGGCACGCTCGTTGTTGATGACCCATAGTCTTCGAGAAGATGTAAGACCGATGGTTCGTGAGGATCGATATCGATTACCCCAACGAATCGATCTGAGGCTGGAGTCGCTCCTTGTTCCTTGCCGTTATCCCTGACGGGGACGTATGACTTAGGAGACGGAGCTTTCATGGCGCCGAGGAAGACTTTGTAGCTCGAGAGGTCGTGATTATTTGTCTTGTGAATAGGACAATAGACATCCCGAGTTGGAGAAGTACGCTGAATTCCACGTTCTTTGCAGGCGCGAATTTCAACACGGACGTTGAGGAAAACCCAACAATCTTGCAAGGTGTGTTTCTTGGTTTTGTGGATAGGACACCAAGACCTTGTGGCTTCGGAAGTCATCTTTGCCGGCTCGTGGTTTATGTTGGAAGGACAAGGTTTGGCCGTATCAGAATCCTTCCCGTGCTTGGATGTCGTCGATGATCCGTTCTCCGTTTCGACGGGTGGATTTTTTGACATGGAGTCGCCTTGGTTTGTAGCCACTGCGTTCTCGTTTCCGGTCATTGGAGGACCGGTTGAGATTGGCGTTGTGGTGTAAACCGGGAAGACGATTTCGCCGACTTGAGTTCATACCAGCATTGTTGAAGCAGGGAGCGCTTGGCTGAGGCTGGTGTTGACGTTGTTGTCGACGAAGCTGGATGACATAGTAGTAGAACCTTGAGTACCAAATACCCCTACCTGGCGCGCCACTGTCGACGGGTGATACCCGTAGACCGGATATAGATGGTATTGGGGTACGTTGGTACAAGGATCTACGTAGTACGACATCGAACAATCAAAAGACAAGAATTATACTGGTTTAGGCCCCTTGGTAGGTAATAGCCCTAATCCAGTTGATATGGGATTATATGGTGGAAAACACAGGTTACAAAGGGAACGATGGAACTTGTCGGATCCGGCGAGATCGTAGTCGAGTGGATTCAACTAGCTCTCGACGACTTCGCTCCTCGCAGACTTCGGCTTTGTAGGCTGTGTGGGTTGTGTTGGCTCTGAGATTCGATGATCCATGCCCTCCCCGGGGGGTCCCTTTTATATCATAGATCTGGAGGTTTCCAAGTAGGACTCAGAGATATCAGACCCAATACGATACGTCGACGACCCAGTTCTGTCCGAGAAGGATTCTTCCCATCTGTAGATTTCGTGAAAGGTTTCCTTAGGATATGTAGAAAACATCCGCGTGCGCGTGGGTATGCCATGTCGATATGTAACGTATATCGAAGGGTAGAGGGTATGCCTGACCCGTAACCCTGACATATACAATGATAAAATATATATCGTTACTATTCACAATTTTATAATTGTTTGAATTGCATATAAAAGTCAGATAATATAACCTCAAATATGGGTTTTTAAATGTAAAATAATCAAAATACATAAGAAAAATATTACTCGTATGATTTAGGGGATCCCATGATTGAGATGTTATAGCTGCTTATTTTTTTCGTGTAACTCTTGCTTTCTAACTTATATATTTTGGGAACATTACTCATAGCTATTTTTATTTTAGATTTTATGATTGTAGATATAATTTAATTCTTATGAAGTTATGCACAATGATAGAGTCTACAATATTATTATTTCATTTTTTTTGTAATTGCTTCAACGGTACGCAAAAGTCTGGAAATATAATCCAAAGTGTCATTTTCTTTCTCAAAGTTGAATTATTGTGGAAATTTGGTATTTGCCTGTAGATTTAGTCATAAAATAATTTTAAGATATAAGCGAATTAAAAGTTAGTTGTATGATTTAGATGTTATAGTTGTTGAATTGTTTAACACAAAATATATTTTCTAACTAATAAAGTATATGATAATAGGGGAAGAAATATGTGCAAAAATATGAAGAAATTGAGGGAAGAAGGGGTGGAAGTACGTTACTAACGTACGTACGTACTATCCTTAAGAAAACGTACGCTACGTACAGGTCCAATTTGGATCCGGTTTGGAGGTTAAGGAGTTCTTTTAAAGATAAATATAATAGTGGTAAATAATGGGTCTACCTAATTTAATAAAAATTAATGTCTAGATGTTTTCTTTTTCTTAAAAATTTTAAAAATTTCTCTAATTTATTATAGTGACACGTGGCATCGTAGTACATAGCGTTTGCAGGATGCCACGTGGTGGCTTAGAAACGTTTGTTATATAATAGATCTAACTTAATTTGTTTATGTATATTCTGTCAATTGATATATGATCGTGTAATCTACATTATCAATTTTTACCTATTTTATATGACAGTTTTACGTGATATGCAAAGTTTAGGATGTGATAAAAAAATTAAATATTTCATATAGGTTAAAGAACACCTTATATTTTTTAATTGTTGATAGACAACATGCAAATAACTATAGAAAAAATATGGTTATTTAAGATTTATTATTGTTTAAAAATTTTTATAACTAAAGAAAAAAAAGAAGAAGAGATTGGATAGGAGGGGAGGGAGACCGTACCTAAGTACGTACGAACTTGAGTTGTTCGTCCGGTTGAAGGATGGGCCCATGGGGAGAGAAGAGGGGAGGGAAGTTTGTGGGGTTATTTTTTTAATAAAATTTTAATAGATAAAAATATTAGGCCCACCAATTTGTTAAGATGTCATGTGGTGGTTTAGGAGTATTTGTAGGAGTACACATGGCGGCTTAGGAGCGTTTGTAGGAAGTTTCATGGAGTTTTAGTATATAATAGATAGATATATAGATAGATTGATTTAGATGTATTGTAGTAAAATTTACCAAATTTATAGTGAAAAGTAATTTCTTATGATCATAAGTTTGTGCCACATAAATAATATACTAATGAAGCAATTATTGGTTAAAGTCTTGTCCTAATCAAACAAAATACATCTGAAAAATTTTAAGACGGAGGGATTAGCTTTTTACTAAGCTGCTGGCTTATCTGTCACTGCTTTCTCCAAACTCAAATTATTACGACTAGTGTAGAAGGTGATATTTCCTAATATTACGAATCCGAACAAGTAATATCATCTTGTCCTAATATTTTGGGACAGAGGTATCATATATTGGTACAACAGATATGGATCCTCTGCTGTAACGTCAGTGTCAGGTGATTTTCGGTTCAGTGACATAGTGATATAAAGTCAAGATTATTTGTTGTTAAGGTGAAGAATCCCGTTTTGTAGGAGAATTTTTTTATTTTTTTAGACTTTTTATTTTTTAATTTTATTAATATACCGTTCTTAAAAAATATTTCAAAAACTAAACCTTTTGGCGTTGAAGCGTTGTTTTGCCACGCCAGCCATGGTAGCGTGGCAAGAGGCTAGTGTGGCAGGACAGCACTGCCGCGCCAGCTGTGCGTGACGTGACAAAGTTATTTGGCCACAGGCTGGCGTAGTCAAAATTCATATTTAAAAATACTTTTTGGAAAGGTATATAAAAAATATATAAAATATATAAAAAAAATCTTTCGTAGGTACCTGTGACCGTCTTGAGTGCTAGAGTGAACTTGTCGTCGCGGCGGCAGCCACCCTCCACGCTGGCATTTCCACTGGATCCCTTGGGGCAAGAGCAAGCGTAGCTGCCTGCCGTATTGGTGCAGACGCCGTAGCAGGGGTACTCATCTTTGTGCTCGCACTCGTTGATGTCTTAATAATTTGTTTCAATTTAAATCCACAAATAACATGAGAAGTAATTAATTAAAGGCCAGAAAAACATCACCATCAGGATGAACTGAAGTGGGATGATGATGAGAGGGAGAGAAGTACCTCTCTCCATTTCAGATTATAAGTCGTTTTGATTTTAGTAAAAGTCAAACTGTTATTTAAAGTTTGATCAAGTTAGTAAAAAAGATAACAATATTTTTAGCCAAGACAAATATATTATAAAAATATATTTAATTATTGATTTAATAAAATTAATTTGATGTTGTAAATATTAAAATTTGTCTACAAACTTAATAAAAAACGATTTATATTCTAAAACGGAGGAGTAACCAAAAATTAGATTTAGACCTGTGCAGTCGCCGACGACGTACGGGTTGCCGTGGTACCCGGCGGTGCAGTTGCAGATATACCCAGGGCCGTTGCTGGAGTCGATGCAGACGCTGTGCGCGCTCCGGCAGGCGTACGACGGCAGCGGCGTGCGGCTTGCGGCGGCGCAGCTCCCGCTCCCGCTCCCGCTCCCGGCGTCCGGCCGGATGGCCCAGTCCAGCACGACGGGCACGGCGAAGTCGCCCGTCCGGTTGAAGTTTGAGCCGGCGTACCAGAACCACCATGCGTCCACCATGAAAGCGTAGGCGCAGGCGGTGGCGTTGGCAAGGAAGGCGCCGCCCTGGCGGCGGCCGAAGCTGCGGAGGCGCGGCCGGTAGGAGGCGAGCCCGAGCGGGATGTTGCTCTGGCAGCAGCCGTCGTCGCCCCGGCACGAGCCCGGCAGCGCCCGCGCCGACGGCCGGCACACGGACATGCAGCCGGTGACGTAGTCCCCGCCGTCGTCGACGAAGTAGGCGAGGCCGGGGCAGCCGATGGCGACGAACTTGCTCTTCATGGACGAGAAGAGGAACGCGCTGCCGTTGAGGGACATGGGCTGCTCCTCCCGCCCCCGGCGGCCGCGCCCGTAGTCGCCGCCGCCGTAGCACGCGCGGCTGGCGTTGAGCAGCACGGTGACCTCGGCGGCGGCGAGGGAGATGGAGGTCACCTCGTGGCCGTAGCCGGCAACTGTGAGGCGCGGCGGGCGTCGGGCGTCGTCGCAGTCGAGGCGAAACCCCCGCACGCCGCCGCGGTAGCAGCGCTCGGAGCCGATGCCGAAGGGGTAGGGGACGGTCACGTTGCCGCACCGCCGCCGGCATCCCGGCGCCTCCTCCTGCTGCGCCAGCGCCGCTGCTGGAGTGATCAGCGCCAGCCATACAAGTGCCCTCCAAACTAAAAACACCTCCATTACTCTCGTTGCGCCTTCTCTCTCTCGCTGCGTGTGATTACGGCTGCCTTCATAATTGAGAGCTCGTGGTTGCTGGATCGCCATAACTGATCGATCAGCTAGCAGCATAGCTACACCGATTGGCGAATGGCGATGGACGAGGTCAACAGAGACCTGGCATGGCATGGCAAATCGATCCATGACCGACCGACACGGCACGCACGCACGCACGGACAGGTTACATGCCACGCAGCTAGATATGGACTAGTCGATCGGATCTTGTCAGCCGTTAGATACAGCGACGGTTAATACACGGCAAGGCAGGTGTACATGTTTTCTTATTATATTGATCATTGTTTTTAGTTCACTCAACCAAACCTCACCAAACAGTCATCCAAAGGAAGGGTAAACTGGTGCTTTATTTCAAAATCACAAACCCTAAAAAAAAGGTAAAATCACAATTGTAAAACAAAACAGGGGTAAGAACACACTTGCCCCAAATATCGTATGCTTCATGCTACTACCCCTGGTGAAAACGAAATTTTCAAAGTAACTAGCAGGTGGCGCGGTGTAATTGTGCAGCTAGCACATACAAAATTATTTATTTTTTACGTATGGTTTTATTTAAGCTTTTTTATATAGTCATCCTATTATTTTAGAATTTTAAAAAATCAAACATTACCATTAGCAGGATTCAATTTTATAGTTTTTAAAGGTTACGCCAACCATCACCCTTTACTTGTCGTCCCCTATTTCTGTTCTTTTTTCCTGTTATGACTTCTTTTCATATTCTTTGGGACCTCTAAAAATCAAACATGTAATTTTTGGAGTTTATTGTCTAATCGAATTCCGTATTTATAACTTTTAGAAGTCTTGTAAAATGTTACCACTTGTTTACATGAAATTCATCGTACACACAAAGGTCTAAGAGGTTTGCTTTACTCTAGTGTAGGTCCTATCAAATCGGGTTCAGAGCGTGCCAGTTAGTTTAATCCTGCAACTAACAAGATAATAAAAGAAATGTTAGTCCTTGGGCCAAACGACTTTGGAGCTGATATAATACCATGTGTCCAGCCGATGTCGATGATAATTTCAGGTCGATCGACGATAATCAATGGAAACGAATATTACGTACTAGATCAACATCACCTGGAATATGGACTCTATATATATATTTCATCCATTTCACAATGTAAGACTTTCTAGTATTGCTTACATTCATATGTACGCTAATAAATCTATATATAAAATAATGTCTAGATTCATTAGCATCTATATGAATATGGACAATGCTAGAAAATCTTATATTGTGAAACGGAGGGAGTATTTGCTAAACCTTAATTTTATTACAGTCAATCTGGATAGATTAGACCCAACCAAGACATTATAAGATTGAAGGTAATAATAACTGGATTTAACAAGTATATATAATCTCTAAATATAGGTTGATGTATTGAAGTATTAATTAAAACTTTTCATTGCCCTGTAATTAGCAAATAAACTAAGACCGATTATAACAAACTAAAATATGATCATAAAGAATTACATTTACTAAACTCAATCTTTATCAGGCCTAACCGAGATTGAATCTAGTAAAAACAACAACTAGCCAATTATATCAAATTTTGTGAATGAACCGATACAACAAGTTTATATATGATAATTAAATAGATAACTTATCGGCTGAAACACCAATGAGATGATAGCTAGCACCTGTTGACTTGAGTAAACTTATCCAACAAACTAAATCTTAGAAGATTGAAGTTAAGCAAGACAATTCGTGATCTAAAGATAAACTGGATAGGTTTTAAACTAGCCGATTGATGCTATTTAGCGTGGTTGATATAGAAACCCTAACAAAGAACGTAAAACCGATCCAAGCCAGAGTCGAGATATTTGATAAGCAACCCCATGCAAAAGTTAAACTAATATATCGGACTTAACCGTGAAAGTACTGATCCCGTCGATACCAGGCGAAGATTTGACAGTACTTACTTCTTGCCGGAGATCAAACTCAACCGATGTAGCCCAACTCAAAAAACAAGATCACGTCGAGACTAAACGTTGGCGATGCACCGAAATTTGTATATCGAACTATTGTTAAATTATAAAGACCCTGGGTGTACATATTTATACCCATAGACTATACCAAGTCCGATTCTATTATGATCGGTTTAATCTAGGCTCTATCTCTAATTAAGGAATTTATTACAGACTCCGACTTTTCACACAACTCATATCAGCTAAACATTGCCAAACACATCCGAGTCTAATTTTAACAGGATTCCATCGGCTCAGGAGTCTATTAAAAAAATAGAAACTAAGATACACCTTTGTTAACTCCGAAGGATGCCAAAACTTGGATAACTTTACTAACCGAATCTTCTAAAGTCACGATGTGAAATCTTCCTTTGACCCGGTCTTGACTAACGGAAATTGCCAAATTTTATCGTTAACACCACTTCACTCCATTACGGCCACCCGTTGCACCACTCTGTATGATTGTTATTGTGATCTTAAAAAAATCAAACCTGATCATTATTGAGTTCTTCTTTCCCTTCTATAAATCCATTCAACTACTGCAATCTTACTCCTTCGCAGCCTACCCGTCGCCCATTCTTTTAATAGTCATTAGAATTTTAAAATCGAATCTAGTCATTATTGGGGTTTGTTTTATAATTTTTTAGGTGTCCTATCAACCATTACCACAACCGTACTTCTTTACAGCTTGCCAGGGTCCTCCCCCTCTTTATTGGTATTTGCCATCATTGTAGTCTAGGTAGTCTACTGTCTCAATATTTTCTTATTTTTTATCCTGACTTTTTTCTAATATCGGAATTTAATTTATTTTTTATTTCAAATTTAAATAATATTTAATATCTTATTGTGTTCTATATGGACCTTTTTCAATATTCCTTGTTTTTATTCCAAATTTTAGTTATTTTAAATTGTATTCCTACTTCAATTCTTATTTTTATTTTTCTAACTTCTGAATTTATTTTACTTTCTATTTTGAATTTTAATTAATCATGTGTTTTGTTCTAGATTGACTATCTTTTTAATATTTCTTATTTTTATTCCGAATTTCAGTTATTTTGAAATTGCATTCCTACTTAAACTTTTTTTCCTTTTCTAATTTAGGAATTTATTATGTTTTAATCTCGGTATTTCAGTTTTTTTAAAATTGCATTCCTACTTAAAATTTTTTCTTTTCTAATTTCGAATTTTAATTAATCTCGTATTACGTTATATATGGACCGTTATTCCAATATCCCTTTGTTTAATTTCGAATTTAAGTTATTTATAAATTGTTTTCATACTTGAACTCTCCTTTTCATTTTTCACTGAATAATACGAGAATTTCTATCCTCTACAGCGAACTGATGCCTCCTTTCAAGCATGTCTTAAGAAAATTGTTGTCGATCGACAACTGCCTACGTAGAAATACGTGGCTCACACAATGAAAAGTAAAGCAATATGTATTAACTTGGAGATAATCTAAGAAATGCCATTGATAAGTGTAACACCCTGAAATTTTCAATTCTGAAATACATAATTAAAAATTCGGAATAATCAAAAATCTTTTCTAACTCCCGTGCATGTTGGAATTTATTTGATTTTATTTTTCGTTTTCTTGTTATGCATGGGCTAAATGATGAGCATTTGGTAATATGTGTCTATTTTGGTTTCAAATATTATTTATTTAAAGAACCATGATTACGAAATATATTAATACCAGTTATTTTCCGAAAACCCTCTTCTAGATATTAGAACCCTCTGACATTTTTGCTATATAAATAAAATTATATATTACCATTGTGAATGAACACCCATACGGGATAGTTCATTAAAACATGAACCATTTTACAAAAAAGGAAATATTGATCTGTTTATTTTCTAACAATAACGGCTATTAATAAGGTACTTCATCCGTTAGCATTGTAAGTCTTTTTAGCATTGTCCATATTTATATAGATGTTATATATATATATATATATATATATATATATATATATATATATATATATATATATATATATATATATATATATATATATATTCTAACATATGTATGACATTTATATGAATATGAGCAGCTGGCGCAAACTTCTTTGTGGTCTGCATGGCAGTGAGGTGGCCAGGTAGCTGAACTTAGGCTGTGTTTAGTTGTTTAGCCAAAAAAAATTGTGACGTATACGGATAGACTAATAAGAAAATAAATTATAGATACCGCCAAACTACGAGACGAATCTATTAAGCCTAATTAATTCGTCATTAGCAAATGTTTACTGTAGCACCACATTACAGCGTAATTAGGCTCAAAAGATTCGTCTCGCAATTTACATGTAAACTGTGCAATTGGTTTTTTCTTCTACATTTAATGCTCTATGCATGTCTCCAAACAATCGATGTGACGAAATTTTTAAAAGTTTGAAGGGAACTCAGCACGGCCTTGGTGATGGCATACTTGTTGATGATCGAGAGCAAGCTCGAGCACAGAGCATATCCTATCACGAGGCTGCTCGTCGCATACGTCTGTTCCGTAGGAATGCGTATATCCGCGCACCGCACGTCTGTGCCGTTTGATATATTTGGTACTAATGTTTAGGGCACATGCAAGTTTGATGGTCATGAGTGTGGTGTATACAGGTTATGCACATTTTTTTTTAGTTGTACTCTCTCGTGGAAAAGACGTAAGACAGTTTATATGCAGTGAGAGTCTACTGAAGCTAAACGTGAGACGCTACAAGAAATTAGCGGCAGGAATGAGAATTAAACTTTAGAGGCAAAGCACACGAATGACTTTTGCTGGGAGAAGAAGCCAATGGAAGCACACATGTAAAATCACAAACACTATGAAGAATATTCTTAAAAATGCAGGTCAGAAACCACCTTCCTCGGAGAAAGTATGCTATACTGCCATGTGATAGAAAAGAAATTGATTTAGTTAAATATGCTAAGCCATACAAAGCACAACTCCACTCTTCCAGCTCCATATCCCCACCACCCAACATCTAAAATCTCAAGTCCCTATCATTTTGGGTTTACAAATGTTTCTACTTTCAACCAGTCACCCTTGGCATTTCATTACAACAAACAATAATCCCTTGGACAAAGAATAATTTAATATTGACAGTTGAGCACAAAATTTCTGGGAAACCAGATATGGGATATTGGTTCCCATTCATACTGAAAAATGATTGGGGCCCTGAAATGATCTAACTGCAGCAAGTGTTAATGCTGAGATATTTGAAGTCAGGAACAGCAAGTTTCAGAGTGTAGGATCCAAAATAGAATGCTCAAGAGAACCCCTTACGTCAGTCGTCTTTCTGCCCAACATCAAACTTTGCAATGAAGAAACCAATTGTATCCAGAGTTGATGATGGATCGAATCTCTGGACAAGTTGTGATTCATGCTTTGTCAACCACTCCCTGCATAAGCATTCTATCAGTTCAACATACTGTTGGGGGGAAAAAGTAAAAACATAGTTTCAGTAGCAAATAGCAAGGAGATTATTATCCATATAGCACATAACGATAGGATTATTAAAATGGCCCATCCATCAGTTTGATTGACCCACCAGCTCATTTGGCAAAAACAGTTCTCTTGTACAAGGACAACACATCAAGCTAACAAAGATTGCTAATGCCTAGGCATGCAAAATGGTATTCTCATCAGGAACTTGTGAAACCAAGTGTTGTTTTGGTTTACTTGTGGTGGAAAATTGGCAAGGAATTTGGGAACACCACGAGTTGGTTTTGGTTGGAAATTTAGTTTGGAATGTTGGCGATTATGGACTTGCGTGCGACTAACGTGGGTCAGGTTCCCCTGTGCCCAAAATCAGTTGTTTAGTCTATGTGTGTGCAGGTGATTTAGGTCAACCTTGTTCAATGGTGAGGACCAGAATTATGCTAAGGGAGGAGCAGAGGTCTAGCACGATCGGGATGCCATGTGACAAGGTGTAACTGAAGTTAAGATCCTTAGAGGTCAATCTTGGTCAGTGGCGGGGATCGGGACTAAACACAGAGAGGAGTTGGGGTCCAGAACGATCAGTACGCCGGGTGACAAGATTGGACACAAGGTGGCACACGATGGACGTACACCGTGTAGGGCGATCTTTGCAACGGGCTTCACAAGGTTTGGTGTGCAAGCATAGGGTTCACGAAGAAACAGGAAGGAAGAGAAGCAGAAACCTCTGCGGAATTTAAATGACGGGAATTTAAACTGCATAAATAAATTCAAATGAGTAAAATATATGGCCAGTCCTTAAACTTGAGAGCGGGTGTCACTTAGGTCCGTAAACTTGAAAATTGCACATCCAGGTCCACAATCTTGGTTTAATGAACCATAGCCGATCCAAATCTCGTTTGACCAAAGCTAACCACCGACGTGGCATTCCACGTAGGCAACACATTTACAGCTAGCCCCTCCGCAGAGAAGAGTGGTGGAAGAATTACAAATTTGCCCCTTCGCACTACAATACCACCCTGAAACCCACAAAATCCCTCGCCTTTCTCCCCCGATGGCTTAGGTTAGCGACTGAGGCGGTGAAGTACGAGGTAGTGACGAGGGAGCAGTGGGTGGTGAAGTACGGAATAGCAATGAGGGAGGCGAAGGATTTGGGGATTTTGTGGGTTTAAGCGAGATACTTTGGGCCTGTTTGGGGAGCTTCTAGCTACTAGAGCTTCTCCCAGAATCAGAAGCTCCCCCCAAACAGTCCAACTTTTGGTCTAGATTCTGAGAAGCTGTAGTTGTAGAATCCAGAAAATGAATTAGATTCTCAGAAGCTGGCTATCAACCAGCTACTTCTCAGAATCTTAAAGCTCCCCAAAAAGGCCCTTTGATTCTTTGCAGCTTTTTTAAGCTCCTCCTAAATCTATCTTGTCATATATAGTCTTGAGGGAAATATTTCAGAGAAGTTTTTGAGAGGGTAAAGCCCTCATCTGAGTAGGGTTCTTTGCAACTTTTCTTCACCTCCTCCTAGATCTAGCTTGTCACGTAACTATGGTCTAAGGGTGATATTTCAGAGAGGTTTTTGAACGATTATTTTGGGGAAGAACTTTTTGATGCTATATTCACCCACCTCTATAGCAGATATCGGTCCTACAAAACTACATTACTTTGTGATGCAATCCAAATCTACCGTATTCCGTTACATACAAGTTTTCCTAAATTATGGCATAATACCGTATTTCAGTGTTTTCAGATAGGTGTGCGATAACATAATCACAGAAATTGGATAGGTTCAGGTCCCATGTTCCAAGAAATATATAGCAAGAATCTTACTCAGTATATTTCTTGGTTGATCGCTCAAATGAACCAACAATACCAGGTCCTCCAACTTTTGGGTGCTGAAAAGATTAACAATGACAATGAAATTATAGAGCATACAAAAGTAACAAATATAATTGATTGTAACTGCAGAGATAGGGCAAGTATTTACTATCCTAAGTTAGGAAAAAGAAAGGCATGTTTGTCACAGAAGTGCATGAGCAAGATTAAATATGTGCAGACTTTAATTTGGTTCAACTTTGTCTAAAGTGAGATCTATCAGTTTCAAATCAATCCATTAGTCATCATATCTGTAACGAAACTGAACAAAATTATAATTTGTAAAACATACAATTTGGCTGGTACATTTCAAGTTCTCCATCTAATAAATTACTAATTAAAAATCCTCACCATAGCAATTTAGCAAATTACATCATGGAACTTACCTGTGATCCGAGCGACAAAAACTTGTACTTATCCAATGCATATCTGACCAAAGCTTCATTTTCTCCTGGATTTATAGTACACCTACAAAGCAGAAACAACTAGGATAAATGGTATGTAGAATTGTAGATTCCAGATAGAATAACCGTGTAAGTTATGTGTTTTTTGGAATGACCACATAAAAAGCTTCCACCAAATACCGATCAATACATATAGATGGGACAAATTTGACTGTTTCACTACCTGAATACCAACAAAATGTGCATGTATGACTAGAATGTCATGCCCAACATTATTATGTTTTCTTTAGTACTGGTACATCAGCTAGCTAACTGTACTGTACACGAAATCTGGATTATGTTATTTATGTACAATCTATAAACAGAGGAAAGGGGAGACCTACTATTGGGTTTAGGGAATACAGAAGGTATCTAATTTTAAAGCTATGCTCAGTAAGTAATATCCTCGACTGATACGTCTATAGCCGTTGAACACTACTCTTCTGGATCCAACACTAAGTTTGTCTAGAGCTCTGTAGTTTATCGCAATTTCAAGTACAAATAGAATGGATATCTGATTACCACACACGTGTGTGTGTTTAACATCTTTCTTAGTAACATAATTTTTGTTCTCATACACAGTAATAACATAAAATGTTGAACACTCACGTGGAATAAACAATCACCCCACCAGGGTGAACTAGCTTGACAGCTTGATCAAACATTCTTCTCTGGTACGTCGCATGATTTCTCAGTGATTCCAGCGTTTCCTGCCACATTGAAATGCACTAAATATTAGAAGTTGTAGCAACTCATAAAATGATAAATACTTGAGCTTGGTGGAATGCAAAGATGCAAATCAAACTTCTATAACAATTAGAAGATTATTACAACATGACATATTTGGAAATTCCAATAACATGGCAAGGTACAGGTTTACAGAATATGAGATGCCATAGGCTGATAAATTTCAACTTATTAATGAATTTCATGTACCTAGCATATCATTACAGTATAAAAATGTTTCCTTAATCAGAATAAGCATTACAAAGATAATTTTAACCAACATATTAAAATATGTAATTTCAACTTTTAAAATAGAGTAAATTGCATCAGCGGTACACGAACTTGTTAGGTGGGTGCAATCTAATACATGAACTTGTAAAATGCTCGTTTTGGTACATGAACTTATCTTGCGTGTGCGAACTAAGGTCAAAAGGACATTACATGACTAATTTTGTTGCTTTAGGTGCTGATTAGGATACTACGTAAACATATATATGAGAAGGTTGCTACTTAGACATGCACCTGTTCAATAAAAAGATATAATGAGATATAGTGATTGTAGAGAAAGATATAAAATACCGGGCAAATGAGCAATGATGCATGGGTTAGAAACATACAAAATTCAAGATAAAGTAGAGAATAAATTTATAAATATAGCATGTTTTATGCATACTCACTATACGTATGCATGCCACATCCTAATTAACATCAGCTAGGTAAAATTAACCTTGCTAAACCATTTTGGACCTAGTTCGCACGGATTAGATAAGTCCGTGTGCCAAAACGTGCATTTTACAAATTCATGTACTAAATTGCACCCACCTAATAAGTTCGTGTACCACCAATGCAATTTACTCTTTAAAATACCTCAAATACATATAATGCCACACATACCATTCTTTTATTTTAAAATATGGTAAACTCGAATCTTTGGTTAACATTTTCAATATTGATTACAAATTATGAATGAACATAATTGGCCTGGATGTCCAATATTTTAATTTACTAAAAACATCCATTTTTTGTTAAAAGAATTACACATGATAAAATAACTCATTTCCCAATGTACCATTGTAGGTGTGCGTGCTGATGCATAGCTAAGAGTATGGACACTAAACATAAATACCCATTGTCAGAGTAGAAACAGATCCTGAACATGTAGGTTTACTTGCTAAAGATAGGTTTATCATTTGCATTGCACCTTTTCTACAAATGAAAGAAAAGTGGTCCTCCATCTTGTTCCAATTGTAAGTCTTTTTACTTGTGCACGAGGATTAAGAAAGTAACTGAAAAGATTTTGTTGTCCATCACTTATATTACGTTGGAAAAGATGAGTCATTTATTTGCGGGAGTAGTACCATTTATTTGGCAAGGCAAAACAAGAAAATGTGAACAAGGTGCATACAAGTTTTAAAATGACCTATATTAGGAAAGAGTTAAGAAGGCTAAAACAATCTACATTTAGAATTGGAACGAGTACATACAGACAAAGTAAAAGGGCAATTCTAAAAGGCATTCTCAATTTATGACCAACCGCATCTCTAAATATGGTGAGGCAAACTAGCAATACCCTTACCTCACCAGCAAAGAGGCGAGGCCTTAAGCCAAGTGCAGAACATGGAGCATCAAGGAGGACACGATCAAAGCTATTGGGCAAAAATCCTTTAGAATTTTCAACTCTACCACCTGAGCAGTTATTTCTTCCTGGTCCATTCCTCATTCGCCTTAAGTTCTTCCTGAGGTCTGCCTTGCTCACATATCTTTTATCATCTGTTTTTTTGTTATCTAACAAAACAAAATTATCAAATTTCTGAATTCAGCTTAAGAACGACATATACTTAAGGCACAGGTGCATATATCTATTAGGGAAAATTATGTTCTGAGTGTTTAGTTGGTCTCCGCAAAGTGCAAAGTGTAACCATATAAAATAGCTGTAACTTCAGTAATAAAAAAAGGTTAGATTTAAATAATAAATAATAAAATTAAATATAAGTGATCCCAGGGTGTGTCATGCGCATTCACCCACCATTATAAAATTAAATAATAAAAAATGAAGAGAAATGGGTACAAATTTGCATGTCCCTTACCAGTCTGAACAACTGATGTAGTAGAACTGTCTTCACTGGCATTAGTAGTCCCAGCATCGACTTTATTAATACAAGGCTCAGAGTCCTCTGCCAGTGTCACAATTGCATCAGTGCGGCTGCCTGCTTCGCCAATATATTTTGCTTCATTGGTCTTCCGTACAGATTTGAGTGCATCAAGCTTATAAGCTTTTATGCAATTTAGGTCCATCTCAGCGGCCAACTTCAAAATATCCATCACCTGTAATCTACTTCAATATTATGAAAGTGCAAAGTAATATGACTTCTAAGATGAAAAATACACCCTATGTAAAGTGGGAGCACATGATTGAAAAAAGGGTTAGTTTTATAGGTATCGTCATTGCACATTACTCCCTCCGGTTCCATAATTCTTGACGTTTTGGATAAGGTTGAGGTCAAACTTTTGTAACTTTGATTATCAATAACTTTAAAAGTATTTAGTTTAAAGGAACTAGAACAACATATATAAATTTGTCCTTCAAAGTACTATGAAAAAAGTAAACATGCATTTATTTATTGCATATATTATAATAGAAAAATAAAGTCAAAACATATATTTTGGAGACCGTGTCATTGTCCAAAACGTCAAGAATTATGGAACCAGAGGGAGTACATGTGTTACTCAGTTCTTGATGCCACACAAAATTTCCTAATGTGTCGATTTGAAAATGGCCTTCAAACAACCTACACCGTGACATGAAAATGACCTTCAAAGACCCTTATGTTGCATAATAACTAGTTTCTGTTTCCATACAGCTAAAAAATGTGGAAATATATTTTGGGGGTTTTCTAGAAGAATGCTGGCATGCAGGATAGTACATAAAAAAGGGGTAAAAATCTGTCTGGGGGATGATTACTTTAATAAAATGGCACTTTGTGAAGGACGGGGGACTGATTGAGGAAGGAATATAACCAAAATAGCTGGTTAAGTGAAAGACTAGAAGAACTTCAAGGATGCTCTTGTGGCTTGGAGCTATTTGTATTGATGCATTATTATTAGATAGATAGCTCTGTTTCATGATTGTTTGGTTGGTTTTGTATTTCTTGTAGGTTTCCCTTCATACTTAGTGTTTGAGTTTGGGTTATAGGGCCATGACCTTGTCCAAGGCCTTGTCTTTCATCTTAAAATAATGACATGCCAGTTCCTCTGCATGTTCCAGAAAAAAGTAATTAGGAATAGGAGACTTGGGGTTATCTTTCTATTTCCTTCATAAATTACATAGACAAATGCCCTTAAGTGCCCCACAAAAAAAATGCCCTTGCATGAAGCTGGACCACCTAGCCTAAAATCATATCTACTCCCTCCATCCCAAAAAAACTCAACCTAGGATAGCATGGGGCCTATACTAGGACAAGGAATCTGGACAAGGATAGGTCACATCCTATCCTAGGTTGAGTTTTTGTTGGGATGGAGAGAGTAATCAATAAGGGTAGGAGATAAGATATGCAAAACAATAGTTTATAAGTATGCTACACTAAATGACCTAATAAACAAATTGGCCAAGAAACTGGAAGAAGACATAATAAACAAATTGGCCAAGAAACTGGAAGAAGTGTTGCTGCTGCTCCATCTTGCATGTTATGGATTTTAGCTTCCAACCAACAAAAATTAGCCAAAAGATGGTGATAAAATGTAGTATATCTTTTAGCACATTATAATTTCACAAGATGCCATATTGCATTGCAAAACATAGGGACATTATTTACTGTTCTTTACATATGCTAAAACAAACTTTGTGTTTTGGCTGAATAATAAATTTTTATATTCATTTTTATAGCCGTTGTAAGTCTATTAACACTTCAATTTGTTGTCTTTATCTGAGTATATAACCTTTTGTAGACTGTTCATGAAGCCATGACCCAGACACGACATGCAGGGAAAAACGTAACCAGGTAAGTTCCCTCATATTCATTTTATCTGTTTAGAATAACTCCATTTGACATCATATAATCAATCTGACATAAGAATTAACCTTATTGTGAGATCTATCAAGGGCAATAATTTCTCCTTGGTCTTTCATCAGGATAGCAATTGCTGTTGTTTTCCCACCTGGGGCAGCACACATGTCCAGAATCCGCTCTCCAGGCTGGGGATCTACAAATAAATAGAAAATTATGTACTGTACATAACAAATTAGGCTGTAAAATTTTGACCTAAGCTATTCAGAACTAAAAAGAAAAATATTTATCATATTCTGCATAGAAAGAAAAGTCAGCAAACTATATGCTATGTACAAACTGACAAGTGACAACTATTCAATTACTGTAACATTTGCTAGTTCAATCTTTTAGCAGTAACATTTGCTTATTTATTTGTTGCTTCAATAACTATATTCAAACCTAAGATTTTCAGCATTTCTACCACATAAATATACGATACATCACACAGCAAAGGACATAATATCAGATAAAAGATGACTTAAGACTTTCAGAAAACAGCCATATTGCCATAAATTTGAAAATTTTGCTAACTTAAAAATTATATTCATACCAAGGACACGAGCAGCCACAACACTTGGAAGATTCTGAAGAAATATCTCCCCTTCGAGCACATCTAGACGACATAAAGAAACAAAATTTAGGATCATGCATTTGAAGATCAGTCAATACTAAATAAATAAAATGCAAATATGAAATGAAAAATGTAAGTATTCATAGAGGCATTAACAAGGGTATTCAGTTAAGAAATTCGAATCAAAGAAGAGGTCAACCGATCAACCTTCAAAAGTAGGGATGCCCATCAACAACCCTATACCATTTGGCTCTATGCAGAGATCGCAATATTTTTACCATGCATCAAACCAAGAATATGCAAAGCCCAAACTCTAATATGAGGATTTGCGTGGTCATGTGATCAGTAGGCCACAATAGTAGGCATAATCTACAATCAGAAGTGAAATGAAAATTAAATGAGCTTAGCCGAAGCCAAAGCCTAGGCTCTCAGGCTTTGTTGAACCGAGCTTGAATAGATCGCCAACCTGGCTGTGCGCACAATTTTTTTGTATTTGATAAACTAGTAGATCAAGTATAAATTAGTATGCATACACAGCAGCTTAGCATCACATATTTCTCTTAGTCCTCGTCCTGTTGCCAATGTGATTAACAATAAATTTATTGTCTTTATCAAGAGATTGTTCTTGAAACATATGCTATACTGTTCACGAGCTTACACAAGCCAAGCTCAAGCCTGACCAAGTTTCCTCCGAATCCGAACCAAGATCAAGCCTGCAGTCAGAACTCACTGACAGTCCTAATAACAATTAAGCTCAGATGTTTTTTTTCATGCATACAAACTCTGTCAGTGTTACCGTGACTCAGGCTCAAGAGTCGGAATCCGACTCAGACTCGATAGTTGGAGTCCGACTCAGACTCGTGTGTCCGACTTGGCAAACTCTAGAAAATAGGATTCGGAGACTGGTCTAATATATATAAGTTCTAATAAAAAATATTATATAAAATAAGATACCTACACATAAGATAGTTAGTTAGACACAATACTAGTGCTCAGAAGATCCCATTTATATGAAACAAGGAAGTCAAAAGTGCATGCTGCATTTTGCCATCTCTCGTGTGAGGCAAAAGCCTGCAAAACTGCAAAAAGGACATTCTCTCTCCTCTCTCCCTCACCTGCTCTCTCTCTCCCACATGCTTTATCCCTACACACTACAGGACTGCTGCTAGAGCTTTATTACTTCACCTTGCAGCACAGCAGCAGCGATTGCAACTCTCCTTTTGGACTTGGACTCGCGCTAGCAGTGTCCGATGCGCGTCGTCCCGCGTCTGATACACATCGACACGGGGATGCGTGTCGACGCGGCAAATTTTTCTTAGACACGGGAGTCCCGGTAACACTAGGGGAGAGAGGAGAGATAATGTTCCTTTTTGCAGTTTTACAGGCTTTTGCCTCACGAGAGATGGCAGGATGCTGTTCTCAGAGAGCATGCACTTTTGACTTCCTTGTTTCATATAAATGGCATCTTCTGTGCAGTAGTATTGTGTCTAACCAACTATTTTATGTGTTGGTATCTTATTTTATATAATATTTTTTATTAGAACTTCTATATATTAGACGAGTCACCGAATCTTATTTTCTAGAGCTCGCCAAGTCGTACACCCGAGTCCAAGTCCCAGTAACACTGCTCTCCCCCCACCTGCTCTCTCTCCCCCCACATGCTTTATCCCTACGGAGTAGAGTAGTACTACTCCACACTACAAGACTGCTGCTAGAGCTTTATTTCTTCACCCTGCAGGCTGCAGCACAGCAGTAGCGATTGCAACTCTCCTTTTGGACTTGGACTCGCGCTAGCAGTGTCCGATGCATGTCATCCTGCGTCGACATAGAGATGTGTGTCGACGCGGCAAAACTTTTTTGGACACGCGGGTCCCGGTAACACTGAACTCTGTATCTTCAAGAAATAGTCTAATTCAAATGACAAGATAAAGGAATTACTTTGTTCGTGAACTAATTCATATCCTTCATTGTTTGGTTCGTGGTGGCTGTCAAACCCATGCATGACTACTTATAATGAATGCTCCTTCTAAAGAAGTCAGCTATGAATGTGATCGCCAAACTGGAGATCTCACATCTTTCAAAGTTAGTTGCATGAATTGGCACACAACATACTATATGGGGGAAAATAATTCACCTATCAAATTGCCAGTTCTATCCTTATATTAAAAGAATGAAATACAATAGTGTATTTGTACCCGTGTTACATACAAATAGCCAAGAAATGCAGCAAAGAAGTAAATGTACCATTGAAAGATGGGAGCTTGTACACCCTCTCAGTCATCTCCACTGCAACTCCATGAGGAACACGAAATATTCCGGACCTTGACATTGCAGTGATCCCTTGACCAATGTACAAACCCTTTCTTTCTTCATGATGTGCATCTGCAAAGAATTGAATTTCATAGCGTTATGTGTATGACTTTTAGCTGGGGAAAACAACCTCACACTTAAAACTGTAACAGTGACTAACATACATGAAGTACAGAAAAAAAAAAAGAGTATTTGCAGTTTATCAATAAGCTATCAAAAAGGATTTAAATTTTTCAGTTGAAAAGCTTGCCTGACTGCAATCCCTGTAAAACAGTTCCTCGTGTTATACCAACGGTCCAACCACCATCCTCAGCAGGTTGTTCAATAGCAACCGACACTGCAACTTTGTCACCCTTTTCAACATGTGAGCTGCAAGCTAAAACTCCTGGGATGTACACCTGAATATAAAGAAAATGAAAAGGAAAGTTAAAATATTTGGGAGTGTGGACTTTCTAGTAGCATGAACTGGCAACAAGCATGCAAAGATACAACCTCGAACTGAAATGTTGAATTTTCCAAATCCAAAAGGAAAAAGTAAAAGACAATCAGCAACATGAGCGGAAAAGCATTATTTAAAAAAACAAGATAGGTATTGAAGGCTACTAGTCACCATCCAGTCCAACAGCAAGTACTACAGTGAATTCATACACTTATATAGCACTCCCCATGCTCCACATAGGATTGAGGTGATGCAGCAAAAAAAAAAAGAATTACAGAATGATCAACGGAAAGTTTGAAACAACTTATTCTCCTATGCTAGGACTAGCCATTTTTCGGTACATCTCAACATAATGCACATACAAAAGCACACAAACACACAAACATAAGAAAACATACCTGGGCTCCTCTAAGAACCGACTCTGCACATTTTCGACTTACAATCACTTCCTTAATAGATTGGTCAGGTTGGCTATTGTAGTGCAGTGCATGTGGTCCTGAACCTTGTACAAACAAAACGTTGTCAAGGCCAGAATATGGGCACTTATGCACCACAGAATTCCCTTCATGTGCTTGCTCTCCACCATTCTGCTGACCAATCTCCAAACCATTAATTCCACCACAGAGTCCGTTCTGATCTACCAAATTCATCAGTTTATGCATGACAGCATCAGTGGAAGACTTCAGAGTATTGACACGAATACAAGAGTAACAAGAAGGATGCCTAATCAAGAAAGTAATAGTTAGTACAAAATTAACACTATTTACTTATAATGGAAACTAGCATGAAACTGTAGAACTGGCTCAATCTTTTATTTGACCGTTTTGGTCAAGTCATCAAGAACTTCAGTCTTTCACTGATCTGTAGTTAGTAACTACTGAGTAGGTGAGCATAGCAAAAGAATCTTTATAGTAGACATGCAAGAACAGAGAATCCAATAAAAAGGTGAGCATAGATAAAGATTGTCGTTTCCAATATCACAGAAGCCTCTTCATTTTCATCTCTTCCCTGGAAAACCATGTTCTTTAGTTACATTGAAAAAGGAAGCTAAATGAAAATCATGGAACCAGATAAGTCAACAACCAGTAACAGTCTTTAGCTAAGAGTCTTATCAATTTCTACGAAAAAAACACTAGTAGATTGACGCATTGCTGCTCCAAGATATTATTCCTTGAATCATTTTCTCCAGCCTAAACATTTGAATTGTTCACCACCTTGGAACCACAGAGAATTTATCACTAAGTAAATCCAATCAAGTACATCCATGCAGTTTTGTTCGTACACAAATCATTTGCCTGAGTATTAAGACATTGTCCTTAAAAGCTGAAAGTTCAGAACAAGAAAATAGCAACTGCAAGTACCAGAACTGATTGAAACATGGTACATTTGATTAGATGGCATAATCCAGCAAATCTAGAAATGGTCTCTGATGGATGTGTTGATTAGCATGAAATTTGGAGAAAAAGAATGGAGAAGTAAAAACAATCCAGCAAATGGGTGCAAACTTCGCAAAAGCTAAATCTATATCCTTCGCTAATCCAATGGTAGTAGCAACGGGTGGTTTTCCCCTTTTGTTTAAAAGTGATAAGATATGTTTATCAAATGATGGGTCATATATGTAATAATTACGGCTAACAAATCAATATTCTGTGCTATTAGCACTATATAGCCTGATAGCCAGAAGATTCTCAAGCACTAGTTCAAGCTTTTTTGCATGACAACTATTTGAAAAATGCCAAATGAAAAGAACTTTTTTGGAAAGTTAAAACGAGTATAAATAATCGTGAGACAGCATTTACAGTTAAGCAGTGTTCATTTTTTGGAGGGAAGCTGGAATTTGCTCCTTTTGCTAATTGTAATCGCTTTGCCACATCAATTCGAATCATACTTGGTTTGGCTAGCTCCAGAATCTAGCATGGTTTAGCTTGATCGAACTCCGCTCGAGCAATCATTTTACTAAACCAGTTACAGGATAACATAACAGCCAATCCTTTTCATGTTAATCAGAGCATCTGTTCGGATAGAATTTGCTCCAAGTTCCCTAAACTGAGAAAAAACAAAGTATAAAACAAGCAATGGCCGCTCTGCCCAGGACCAAGCGCGCGCAAAATTTTGGAGCTGCACGCAACAGAATTTGCTCCAGCTTGTCTAAATCGAGGAAAGCAACAAACTACAACACCAAGACACTAGATGACCTAAAAGTTAAGGCACACCCATTCATCAATGAATAGAATAGGAATGAAGCAAGAGAGGGGGAAGGGGCGGCTCACGCGAGGGCTTCGGAGATGCGGGCGAAGCGGTCGCGGCCGTACGCGGCGGCGAAGTACTCCTCGACCTCCGGCTGCCACCGCAGCCTCGGGCTGTACGTGTACCGGTCCGCGTCAGCCGCCGCCGCCGCCGTGGGGGAGGCGGAGGCGGAGGCGGAGGAATCCATCTGCGGCTGCGGCGGGAGGGGCTCCTGGAAGCGATTGCGCGCAGGAGGGAGGATGCGGAATGGGGAGAGAAGGGAGGGGAGGCGGCGCAGGGAGACGACGCCCAACGCGTCTGGGGTTTGCGAGGGTTTCTAGTTTTCTACACCCTGTTTGCTTGGCACGCAGGCACGGTGAGAATATGAGGAAATTGGATTTCATCTTCTGAATTTTATAACTATAATAACGTTTCTCAGAATTTGAATGTAAATCTAAACTATTCAGGGACTTTGATAGCTGAACTCTAAAAAAAGACTGTAGTTGTCAGAAGTTTCCCAAACATAGGTAACCAAAGTTTTATAAGAAATAGAATTTGGTTCTCGCAGTAACTCTGCTTTGTTTAACTGGCCTTCTTTGTTTAGTTTTATAAGCTAGCTTATGAGCTGAATATTTTAAATCTAAACAAACAAACAGTTTTTTTTGTTTGGTCTTTTAAAGCAATAAGCCACTCTCTTTTACACGATTAGGGCATTCACAATGTGACAAAAGGCCATCCTTATAACTTTATATAGGTACCTTTGCCATTGTGAGAGATGATATTAGAAAGAGTCATATGATCAGCTACCCATAGCTATAAGGATCATCCATATAAATTAAAATATAATATCTCCCTCCTTTTGCTTTTTCTACAAGAGAACTATAGCATTTGGATATAAAGTTTTTTAGAGTGTGGGTCCCATTCTTAATGTCAATTACTATTTATATATACATCGTGGAAATGGGAATAATAAAGACCACTTGGTCTATATACATTATTGATGCCCTTAAGCTAAAAGCTAGGTTGGATTTTTTTTTTTTTGCTTATGTGGGTGGAGATATGACTCCACTAATAAACTTATTAAACTTAAGAACTTCAAATCTACTACTAGTTAATAAATCATAAAAAAAATCTAAATACCCCTATAAACATTGGATGTAAGTCCACCTAGCACCCTAAACTTTAAAACCGGATATCTAACCCCCTGAACTTTATAATACCATCCATATTACCCTTTAAGATGATTTTGGATAGTGGTTTTGCATATTTTGCATACTTAAACAAATAGCTTTGAATAACTAATATAACATTAATTGCATATCATCCGTTGCAAGTCATCCATTTATTCTTATACGGTGATACCATACTATTATTATGTGTATACTTGTTTATAAGTGAGAGCTATCCAAAAATTTTGGAAATTTATATTTCATTAAAGTAGGAGGAAAAATTATATTTCTTCCTACTTTAATGAAATATAAATTTTCAAATTTTTATATTTTAACTTACAAATTTCAAATTCAATGCGCACAGATAGCTATGCCAAACAAATACGTAAATATAAGGGAAAAAACAAGAATCCAATCCGAAACAGCGACGTTTAGATGAACTCTATAATTAAATGCATTATGTAACTAGATGAAATAATTTGGATTGAAATATTTTGAAAATGATTTGAGAGTGATGATTTAGCATGTATATGTTTAGTTTTAGAATGAAAAAAAATTATAGATATAATTACTACAGTATATGCTTGCATGTTGAGTTTTGTGTGCTTAATAAGTTGATGTGACGTACTTACATATAGATTTTAGGAGTGCTAATAAATATTGTGCTTGCATGTTGAGCTTTAGGTGTTTAGTGGGCATTACCTTTATAGAAAGAAGGGATTATTAACTTTATTTTGAACTAATTAATAAAACTATCATTTCAAGAACATTGAAAAATTAAATTATGTATTTTTTTGATAAAATGTTAGACTATTAACTGTAAAAAGAACATTTATATGCCCATAAACATATGTTTAAAAGAAAATCATTCAATAGTTGTTGTTCAAATACAATTTACAATAAAAATTTTCAGAGTATTAATTATGCCAAGTATCAGGAAAATGTCAATAGCCTGTGGAAATGAATGGATCAATGACAAGTACATGTCGAATGGTATAAGCATGATATCTACTTATAGCTCCATCATAAACAAGCTTCCTAGTAGGGTTTCTGTAAAATGCAGGATCTGATTTGAGAAACGCAGGAACACAATAAATAGGATTAGAATGTCACGTATGTATAAATCCCACAAGAATACTAGAAACAGAAAAAAATATAGTTAGAATGTTGGGATGTATAAGTCCCATAGGAATTCAAAACACAAGAATTTGAGGTATGTTGTTTTTGGATGGTTCAATATAACTATAGGAATTTGATGGATTAAGAGAGGAAATACAAAGAGTTCTGTATTGGACTTCTTAAAAGAAAAATAAAATGAGAATTTTAGCTCATGGTAATTTTTCGGTGCATACAATAGAGAATTTGACATGATCAAATCCTTTGTTCCAAATGACACATAGGAAAAAATTATGCTCCCCCCGTTTCATAATATAAGAGATTTTAGAGAAACTAGGAAGGTAGCCCGTACATACACGCGGGCATGTATCATAGTTACGTTTTGATGAATTTATATCGGTGGAATATCAAACAGATGGCACATACCATGCTTCGTAAGTTCGTTTTCCTCACAAATTTCTTTATCGTATCGGTATTGCTCAAATAAATTTTCTAAGCTATCTGTTAGCTTTATACTATATAATAGTACTTAATTCATCTATACAACTAATTATTTACGGTCTTCCTAGTTATTTAAAAATAAGGTAGACTTAGTTTGTTTGTTTACCATACATTTCTAATAAACTAAGTTTGGATAAAAAGTAAGGTGTTTTTTTTCTTTTTTTTAATTGAATGTTTAGATCCTTATTTACAAATCTTAAAAAACAATTATTGCTAATAAATATGTTTATTTTTACTATCAAGCTAACCCTCTCTCTAATTTGTTCATATTGATGTAATTTGTTACACATACTCTACATGATCAATAAATGCGAAGGAGATATACATAATCTAGACCTCGCTTCCCTATGATACGTGTGTCCTATAGAGCTTTTTAAATATACCTAGTCAATATGAGTTAAATTTTTATTCTAATACTAACAAATATTGCTATTTTAGTGTGAATTACATATATAATAATACGTGAAGGAACTCATAATGCCATGGCATCATAGATAGAGGGAAGGCCAATTTAATTGATATGGCAACGGTTGTTTCAGTTTAAGTGAAAATTAAAAACTATTTCTTTACGAATTTGTTAGATGTTCTACAATTGGCTCAATTTAGCCTCTATTGATAATTTTTTTCTATTTTATACAAGTTATTATGAATCTTAATTTGTTAGTTTAATTATGTATAGATCAACAATTAGAATAGATATGCGACATGTAGCTTAATATAACTGTGGATGTTTCGATATTATTGGTTGTTTCTCTTTTTATCATTGCTACTCCAAAAGATACAGAGAGAAGTGGAGAGTGGAGAACCCAAGCCAAAAATGGATGGGGCGAAAAGTGTTGTGCGTATGTGATGGTGAGGGTGAGGTGGAGGGGACTTTGTTTTTCTAATTTTCTAAACAATTTAAGTTAAAACCGATTATCATGCATTTTGTTTTTTAAAAAATCTTTTTTAAATTTTAAAGACATCACGATGACTTAAAACAGATCAGATCTTAGATACAACGATTTAAGCTGGACAATTTATCTAGAGACTGCCAAATGCATTGGTTCGAATTAGCTATGTAATGTTGCCGCAAACCATGCAAACTGATTTAATTAGCTATGTTATATTGCCGTTAATCTCCTTTCACAAATCATGTATAACTAATTTAATTAGCTATATATGTATAATCTTAGTGTTAATCTCCTAGCTTCCATTTATATATATTGTCGTATATATAATAAATATAGCTATGAGTTAGTAGTAACATAATATGGGAGCTAATTAATCTTAGCTTGTGCTACGTATATACAGAGATAAATTAATTAGCGATAAACTTGCCGCCGCGGCCAAACCGGCTCGTAACCGGACGCACGGTATAGCATGATGGACCGTCCGAGTCCACCTTAGAAAAACATGGGTCTTTTCCGTGTCTTATTTTTTTATTAAGATGAATCTAATGGTAGAGAATGCATGATGGGTCCACCTTATTGAAAGGAAAATCAATGGTTAGATTTTGTTTTTATTAGAATTCTTATGATTTTCTTTGATTTATTAGAACGCCACGTGACGTCTTAGGAGTGTTTATAGAAGTGACATATGATGATTTAAAAGTGTTTGTATAAAGGTTAATGGACTTTTAGCATATAATAGATAGATAGATAGTTTTTAAACAAACATAGCCCTCGATTTTCATTTAAATCGATGGGTTTAGTGTTTTAACCTATTAGATTAGATTGAATAAATAATTTCTTCCTGTCCTCTCTCTCACCTACGTATGTCTGTTGACCATCGATTTTTATGGATGCATGTATTTTGACTGTCTTTTTTTATCTAACTTTGTATGATTCTTTTTGTGAACAGTAGGTAATTGCTTTCAATCGTACGCACGTAGAACAGTTATACTATGTGTATGATATAAGTATAGGAGAAATTTATTATTATTTTTAATAATAGATCTAATCTAATGATGTAAAATAATGGGTCCACAAATTTAAGTGAAAATCGACGGTGAGATTAAACAGTGCCATGTGGCGTCTTAAGAGTATTTGTAGGAATGCCACGTGGCGACCTGATAGCGTTTCTAGGAAGTTTAATGGACTTTTAGTATATAGTAGATAGATGTGACACATTCTAATATTATGAATTTGAACAAGAAGTCCCATAATATTTTGGAGGGATGTATCACATATCCCTCCATAATCCCTTGTATTATGGGACGGAGGGAGTAGGTTTGTAATCCTTCAAAATTCTTTTGAATTTCTTTCAATATAAAGGAGCCCTTTGACTTTACTTAGATAATGGCAGTTTCATTAAGCAAATGGAATTTCAACACACTCACTATGTGGTCTACACAAAAAAATGGCTTTACCAGGTTGCTCTAAACGATAATGAACATAATATCCACTTTATTTTGATTAATTGATGTTCTTGTACAACTCCATTATTGAAAATATCTTCCGAAAGAAATTAGAAACTGCACGAGCCTCTGCATCGGCAAAATTAAATGGCCGAGAGCAAATGACCGAAATCAAGATAAGAGTCCATATAAAACGGTGTGAATTCAGGCACTTCATAGTTGATAGTTCGCTTAGCCGGTGTTC